GGAACCAGTGACGGAACCAGTGACGGAACCAGTGACGGAACCGGAGGAACCAGTGACAGAACCAGTGATGAAACTGGTGGAACCAGTGACAAAACTGGGGGAACCAGTGACGGAACTGGAGGAACCAGTGAGGTGGATGGTTTCACATCCCAGAAAACCACAAACCAGTGACACTGAAGAAGGTCGGACCAATGAGGAGGAAGGAAATCTGAAGGATGATTTCAATCTGACCGTCGACCAATCAGATCACCAGGAGGAGGAAACGAAAGGTCTTCTCGCCCAAGACAGTGACCGCTTTGACCCAACTGGACCAGGTGAAGAACCAGGACCTGGTCCTGGAAATAAAGACCACCAGGATGAGGAGAATTCTGGGACGGAATCAAAACCTCCAGCAGTGACGGAGGCAGCGCTCCAGGAAATGTCAACGGAATCTTTACCAGAGGGAAGTGACAAATCTGATTATGGTCCGACTCTGGACCTTCAGGTTATTGAACAGGTGACGGTGGTTGATGGTGGAGTCTCACACTCAGAGGACACGTGGACGAATGAGAACGTCAGTAAATCTGACGCCAAAGACGATCCAGAAGAGCATCAGAAGAAAATGTCACGGACAGAAGAATCTAAAGCCGACCCCTCGGACACGGACGGGAACGTTCCCAAAGACACATCTGAGAGAATCCATTCAGGCTCCAAACCTGGAGGACACAGAAGGAAACTGGGCTCCAGCCGAAAACGCAGAGACAGACTTCCTGTCCCTGACCCCGTCTCTGAACCGGACTCTGGACTTAAAGAAGAAACAGCAGAAATTCACCGAGGTGAGTTTCCTGAAGAGGAAAACTTCACAACGGAGACTTCGAAGCGAGAAATTTTACCAGAGCAAACTGTCTTAGATTTAAAACCCGCACAGGAAATGAACCAAAATAACCTGAGCAGAGCAGGAGACGAGAGAACATCAGAATCACAGATCAGTGTGTGTGATAACACAGCTGTGACAGAAGACGACGCACGGCCGTCACAGGAAGTCCGCGTTCATCAGTCGAATGAAGAAATCAGAGGAGAAGAAAATCATTTCAAGGATTCACTGTTGGTTAGAGACGCTGATGTAACGAAAGTTAACTTGATTCCCTCGACAGAAGACCCTGAAGAACGGGTCGTCGCCGTTCATGTCCAACAAACAGAAGTTCTATTTGTGGACAGAGAAGAAAACGCTCAGGATAAAACGTCCACGATGGAAACACAGAGGGAAGAAGACGGATCTAAACAATCTGATCAGGAGACATTGAGTTCAGAGGGTGGAGGAGATGCTGGACATGAAGACGGTGTAAGAGAAAAGCCACCAGTCCATGGAACCACTTCCACAGGTTCTGACTTCACCCAAAGGTCATCAGTCAACGACAACATGCACAGAACGAAGAGGAAGATGGGGTCGACCCGGAGGAAACTGCTGGGCAGACCCACGGACGGCCTCGATGAAGTGAAGGAACGGGAGGTGAACTTTAAGGTGAGACTCGTCGAGGCTGAGGAGGAGTTAACATCGACAGTAAAAACAGAGCTGCAGCCTCCGTCAGTCGTCAGCGTGTTTCAGGAAATGGAAGAAACCAGCTCAGAGTGCGAGGAAAAACCAACGCTGCAGAGCTGCACCGTCGACCTGGAGGTCAAAGACGGCGACACGACAGCAGGCCCGGGGGATGGAACAGTTCTCCCCCCTGGTTCTCACAGGGATGAAGACGTCCGTCCTGTTCCCGCTCTTCAGGGCGATGATGTAAGAGACGCTGACGGAAGTGAGGAACTGTTCTCCGCTGAGAAACAGGAACCTGGTGTGATGACAGCAGAGGGAGACGGAGACGCTGCTGCTGCTGCTGCTGCTGCTGCTGCTGCGGTCACGGCTGAAGGAGATCACGACACACATGACATGAAAAACGCAGGAGAAGGTGTCAGTCCTGACCGCAGGAGGAGGAAGATGGGGTCCACGCGCAGAAGTCTGAGACCTCAGCCAACAGAAAAACCTCTTCATCAAAATGAAGACGCCGCAGCGACCAGGAGCGATTCAGAAAACGTTACAAAAGAGATACATGTGGTCAAAGACCCAGAGCAGAGTCAGGAGGGGGCAGTAGAGGCCCCTCTAACAGACCAATCACAAATGAGCCCCCCGGCTCCTCAGACGGCAGAGGACAATGTGGATTCTCTGAGCCCAGCAGCAGCAGCAGCTCCTCATCATCATCATCATCATCATCCTCATCATCTAACTCCAGACTACCTCCCAGAGAAACCCCCCACCTCAGTCAGCGATGATGTCACGACAGGACCGGCAGTGGGAGCGAAGAGACGGAAAATGGGATCACACAGGAAGTCACGCCCACGTCCAGACTCAAGAGACAAGGAGACGACGGAGGACGCACAAGAAGAGGGAGATGTTCCCAGTCGGACGAGTGAGGAGTCGTCAGGACCGGGCGGAACGTCGGAGGTAAGAAATTAACTTTTCATCAACCTGACCTCTGACCTCTGACCTCTGACATGTGAGTTTGTGAACAGATAGTTCCAGTATCAAAGAAAACAGGTCTTTTTTTGGTGCTGCGCACAAACATGAAGTTAAATGAGGAACCTGTGTTTCTCACCTACGGTGAAAAGGAGAAGACGACGATGACAAACTGTTTTTGTTTTATCTCCACAGTTTGACAGAGCTGTGAAATGAAGCTCAACGTGTTTAAGAAATGAGCAGAACATTTTAGGAAAAACTTTACAGTAAAGTTCTGATGTTCTGATGTCTCCAAGTCTCCATGTTGGTTTAACCGTTTATAAACAGAACCACAGGTTCTTGGCGACCAACGGCTGAAGACTTTGCTGAAACTTTTTATATCATTTTTTTTCTACAGGTCGATAAAAGTGAGAAGAACTCGTCATCCAACGTCTCCGTCGCAGCAGAGCGACCTGGGACTCTGAGGTACGTCGAGGTTTGATCCCACTGTAGAAAAACAAAACGGCTCAGGCGACCGCTACAGGCTGCTAATGCTAACATAAATATACAGGCTGCTAATGCTAACACAAATATACAGAGTGAAATCTGAAAGAAGAACGTTGGTGGGAGAACTGTCCGAGACGTGAAGCGACTTTTCCTTCTGAATAACGACAGAAGCCGAGACTCTGTGTCGTTCACTTCAGACTCTAATCCTAAAACTGAGAAACGAATCCACCAGTTTTCTGTCTCACAGTGAGGAGAAACCTGACGCAGAGATTCCAGTTCAGCTGCTCCGTGCTGACGTTCATCTGGATCCTGGGAGTCACAACAAGTTTTCTCTGGGTAAACCAAGACTCACTGCTGTTAGAAACCTCTCTTTATGGCCAGAAAAAAAAAACACACGAGGGCTTTTGTTTTTCTACACCAGGTCCAACCGGTGAAGCCGACCTCAGATCCGACCTCAGATCCTACCATGTCCTTCTGGTCGGGGACAGCAGCGTGGGCAAAACCTCCTTCATGAAAAGAGCCCAAAGTGGGAAGTTTTCATTAGATATACCGCCCTCTGTAGGTGAGACTGTGCGGTGTTATTCCTTAGACATTGACTAAAAAAAAAAATAAAAATACAGAAGGATTTATACGTGGGTTTTCACTCAGGCCTTGATTCCTGCAAATGGACGGTGGTGGTGGACGGGAGGCCAGTGGTGCTGCAGCTGTGGGACACAGCAGGACAAGAACGGTGAGGGAGTCAAACCAACACACACACATACACACACACATTTCCACACATCAGCTCTCAGACCGTTCTGTTTTTCTGTCTCCGAAGGTTTCACAGCATCACACGACAGGTTTTTCACAGAGCCCAGGCGTTCCTCCTGATGTACGACGTCACGTCCTCTCAGAGCTTCTCTGCTGTCACCTACTGGACCAGCTGTATCCAGGTACCATGTGTCTACAGCTGGTCCCTGCCGGCTCCAGCCCTGGGGCCACGTTCACAAACCAGTGAAAATATTCAAAAGGAATTTATTTGCTGCAATAGCTACACACCCCCTGGAGGGGGCTCCACCCAACACTTTGGGAAACGCCTCACCTGATTAAAGCCAGATTCAGCACAGAGTGAAAGTGTTGATTGACAGAAACCTGTTGCCTGTTAACGCTCAGTCATTTCTGTTTGGTTTTTTCAGGAGGGAGCGTCTGCAAACGTCACCGTTTTACTTCTGGGGAATAAAAACGATTGTGAAAAACGACAGGTGGAAACCGAGGAGGGAATCGTTCTCTCCAAGGTCAGGTGATCTGACGGTCGGACTGTCGGCCCTCGCTGTGTCGCGGGTCAGCCGACTCGGTTTTTTTTTTTTT